TAGAAAAACCATATTAACTGTTCTTCATATCTATTTTATTTCAGAACACAGAATCATAGAATTGTTCAGGCTGGAAAATGCCTTTAAGACAATCAAGTCCAACCATTAACCCAGCACCGACAATTCCACCAACCATGTCCCTAAGTGTCTCATCTGCTTATCTTTTAAATACCTCCAGGGATATCTCCAGAATCTCAGTGCATCCTATTGACCAATACTGTGCCTCTTTCACTTTATTGTTAGTTGGTATTCCCCCATACGTGATGGGTATTCATCATGATTTCTTTATTTTCATGCACCCTACACCTACAGTGAATTACTCTGCTATCCCCAGAAAAACTAGACTTGGAATTCCTGCCCCGCGATCCTCCAAGGAACAACAAGGAGGTTTTCTCTAATGGGGTGGTGACAGGTGGCCCTATGAGATGAAGTGACCCACTCAGGTGGGCTCTTATGGGCAGCCTCCGGCCCCTGCTGCCTAAGGCACCACTTCCCATCTCCTACTGAACCCTGGTAGTGGACTGCAAAGATGCACAACTCAAACTATTGGAGAACCTGATGCCTCTGTCTGCCATTGCCATTTGTGAGTGTGAAGGAGCTGGTACAGGCAAGACACATGGTCTTTTCTCTGGGATTCTCAAGTTGCATCAGCTTTTCCTCAATCCGAACTTCCTCAAACAAGTAAGAAGCAGTGATGCTCTGATAGGTTATCGCAGTGCTCATGGCAAGCTACAAAGCTGAGGATTTGCTTATGCCTCATGATACTGATTTCACTGCATTTTTACTGAATAAGAACAATCCCTCTGCCTTTATTCCATACTGTTTGTGGTCTTAACAGAGTTGCTATGCAGCACAACCCTTTGATATAGAATAACTATGAAGGACATGGACAAAGGCCAAGAAAGGATGGAAAGCACAATTTGTTAAAACTGAAACAATGAAATTGGACACAATATTTGGGTTTTGTAAAATTACATTTTACTAATTAAGTCTATTTTTTACATTTGTATCAGCTTGAATCAAGCAGTTTCTACATGAAGAGATTTCATAATATTACCCTGAAGCACATGAAACTCTTTGGCCTTGTTAGAACTTGGTGTCAGCTGTGTCCAGGCACAAAAGGAAGTTTATGAAAGAAGCAAATAGTAATCAGATGTCAGCAATGTGCAAAGCACGGTATATACAGGAAGAAAAAGTTGAGTGCCCTATATTTAGCAAAGTGATGCGGTAAAGGCAGACAAACCAACATCCCCAAATTGTTGTGGCAGATCTAGATTAACACATAGAAATAGGATCTGATTTTTCAGAAGTGAGTACTCCTCATTTGTAGGAGGTTTTATGTTGGGTGTAACACATCATTAGCCACTTCTGCTTTCTGATATTTCTGATGGCTTATCCTAAGACCGATCAATTTCTCTCAGTTTAGACTCTGAGTGCTTTTATACCTTTGGTCATGGATTTCATTACTCTCTCTTACTCTTCAGCAAGCAACTTAGTGTCAGCTACTGTATTTCACTAAGAAATCTGCAAAGGTACTTCTCTCAGATGGCAAGATGGCATAAAAACTCCCATTTCACTTTGAATGATTTCCTTTTCACTAAAAATGTGCTTCTGCAAAAATGCATCATCAAACTTTATTAAAATCCTAAAGCCAAATTGTCCCACTAATTGCTTCAACATGTTGCCTAACTCATTTAGAGTGAAGGAGAACAAAGCCACCAAAGAATGGTTTATCTGCAGCTAAACAGTCTCTTCCTTGCCCTTTATAGCCCACATTAGTCCACAGCTCGTGCACTCCGGAAACAAAGATTTCTCCCAACAAACACTTGAAAAAAAAAATCACCCAAACAGTAAGTAAAAATAGAGAGTAGAGTAGTCAAAAAATATATTTTGAGAGCTAATCTCTAGAAATTCTGGAATAAAACTTTTCACATCTCATCATTATTGGGAGATACTGATTCAAATCTGTCTTGCACCACAAGAAGCTTCTATTTTTTGGGGGGGAGAAAGTTAAACAATTTCAACCCAGTAGTTACCTCTCTTCATTCTTAAGGATCTTGTCAATTTTTTACATGTCATTTGACTTGACATTTTTGAATTGTCCAATCTTTTTGACAGCTGAAACCTCTTTACCTGCATTTTGGTTAGACATTTAGCTAGATATTATAATCTAGATAGCTATAGAGGGACCCAAAACAAACAGAGCAAAATAAACCATTTTTTAAACAGTAACACCTGACAATTACTTTATAATTAAATTACATTTCTTTTTAGAAATATTAACATCATGTCATGAATGCCTCACAGCATAGGACTTCACAGGCGTTGTAGATTGTTAGTACTGCCATTCCAAACTTCATGTCAGAGGTGCGAATAGTTTACACATGCTTTTGTTACTGAGAGGTTAAAGATGTTGGCATGTGACCAAAGAGGAAGGGAAGAGATACCACAAACCATCTTGAACTCTTCACACAGTAATCTGAAGAAGTTACAGGTAGTGGATTCGATTCCTTCTGTAAATGTACTTCTGGTACAACCTGCGTCTGGAAACTGTTTCCTTCTTTCCAGTCAATACTATCTTTACCACAGCAGTCCCCAGCTGTTGCACAGCCCTCACACCCTCTTTCCCTTATTTCACCATATGCTGCTTTTCTCTTTACAAGCAACAAATTCTTCCTCTTCTCTCTCACTTTATTCCCTGGGAAGATCAAGTTCTGCTTATGAGCAGTTGTAAGTCTGTGCATTCCAGGGGGTATGTCATTATAGTGGAGTTCCCTGAATATCTAGCTCTGGTTTACATGTAAATAAATTCAGCAAGTAATCTGTGAGTGCAAAACCTGCAGACCTTAAGTTTTTATATTCTATATGTAAACTTCTCACAGATTTTTAGGTTTTTTGTTCTACACTGGAAGCACTTCCAAGTTCAAAAAAGGGATAAAACTTCTTGGAGAACAGGGAAGTAACCAGCTAGGATAAAAATTGTACTTTCAATTTTATTACGGTTTTGAACGCCTGTGTATGACAGCCAGAGCAAGCAATTAAAGATCACTACTCTAATTATATATTGTTACTGACTACCTTCTACAATAAAATTATAAAGAAAAAGAAACACCACATGAGCTCTAATAAATGTTTACATAGCAACCAAGTGCCTTTCCTAGTGATCACCAAAGAGTAACTTGCCACCTGCTTGAGCCAAACGTGTGTCTTTTACTCCAAATACTGTTCAGGCATTTCAAAAAGTCATGTGAAGAATTGAAATACTCAACTCATACTTAAGAGAGATTTATTTACTACTTACAAAACCAAAGTTAGTACAATGATTTTGCCAAACTGTGGATGAAACATTTTTCCAACAATGTGACTTAAATGTTGATGCAGTAAAATAAAGTGAGTCCCTTCCTCTTTCTGCAGGAAACCAAACCAGAATACTAAATTACTGACATTTAAATGTAAAATTCTACTTCTATGCATATAATAAACATTAGGACATTTCTGTAGTTCATTTATTTACAAAAGACACCAGATGTAGTGCCTGTATAGTATTTCTTTGATTTTCTGTTTCAAAGGAAAAAAACCCAAAGATACCTGATACTGCGGCATAATTAAAGAAGAATTTTTAAACCAGCATATCTTAAGACATCTCAAATATTAGTTTAATTCAATTATTTTTGCACCTCTAACTTAAAAAGAAGTAAACCTGTTCTTTCAGCTAGAAATTTCAGTCACTCAAAATTACTAGAAGACAGACTAGCTATGGAAATATTAAGTATGATTTTGTGGTTTGGTGTTGATTTTTTTGCCCAAACTCTTTCTTTTGCTTTATATAAAATACTCTCTTTCTGAGTAGTACAGAAGTATTAGCGAATATGAAAAGGGACTGAACTTTTTTTTAAGTAATCAACTGTAAATATGAAGTATCAGTGAATTATTACACTCAAGTTGTATGTAAAGAATACGAGCAATACGCTACTGCCAAAAGGCATAGGGTGTAGAGTACCTCCAGTCTTAGGGGTACAATAATTTATTACTTTTCTGTACTTCCACCAAGATATACTGTTCCAAGCAAGTCCTTTTATTAAATTTCTATCTCCCTTCCTAATACCTTCAAAGGCCTGACAAGTACTCACCTTACATGCATCCACCACAGGGCATGTGTACTAAACCAAGATTCCCAATACATTTTCAGGGAGAGAGGTAGAGTGTGCACATGTACGTCTTTGTTGTAGAATGGTGACCTTGCGTTTACGTTAGTTTGGAAGGCAGATAACTATGAATGGTCAAAGGAAACATAAACAACCTTGACAGGTTGTCCATGGCTTCAGGTTAAGCCAAAGCAAAAATGTTGAACATGGCATGATTTTCAATTAAACGATGGTTTCCCTCTAAGCATGTGAAAAAGTGAATCTCATGGAAGATTTGCAAATCAAGGCTACATTATGTGCTTGAAATGAAAGTCCCAGGCGGATGAGGTGTGTACCATGCAGGGCTCCACAATGCGACCTCCAGACGCCGGGGTTTCTGAACAGGTTTGCACCTCCCGTTCCACGCCCCGGTGAAGACCTGCTGCCCCTCGGCCGGCAAGAGGCGAAGAGCCGCTAAACGCGCACACTGGACCACTTTTTTAGCCCTTTTAAAGAAGGCACAAGCCGGCGTGTCCCGCAGCGCCCGCCGAGCACCGCCCGGCAGCATCGCACCGCCCGCTCCCTGCCCCGACAGGGCGTGAGAGGCCCCGAGAGGCGGCAGCCGCCGGAGCCGGGGCTGTGGGGAGGATTTCTGAGGTCAGAAACTCTCCGAAGCGCTGCTTCCAGGTGTGGGCAGGGGTGAAAGGCGAAGGGCCCCACGGCGGTCCCCGGCCCCCGCCGCCCTCGGGGCCGCCCGCGGGCGGGGCGGGCACTGCCCCGAGGCACCGCTGCGGAGAACCGAAAGTGAAGTCGTCGGGCGGCGGGGGATCCCCGGGGCCGCTGGAGGCGGCAGCGCCGCTGCCTGGCGGGAAAAGACACGTGTGAGTGCCTCTGTGTGCGTCCCCCAGGTCCTCGGTCACGGTCCGGGACTTCAGGGCGCCGCCACGGAGCCCGTCCGGGTGCTGCCGCCCCGCCGCTCGTGCCCCGGGCAGGGCAGTCGCCGGCGATGCTGTGCTGCATGCCCGGCGTGGCTTTCGTCCCCGCTTTGCTCGTCAGCTGGTCCTCGGCCGCCTTCATCATCTCCTATGCGATCGCCGTACTGGAGGGGCACGTCGAACCCCTCGTCCCCTACATCAGGTGAGGCGGGAGCGCGGTGGGAGCTCCCGAGGAGCGGGGGGAGCTGTGTGTGTGTGTGTGTGCGCGTGACACACAGGCGGCGGTTCCGAGGGGTTCCCAGTCGGGTGTGGGAACCCCAGAGGAGGAGAGGTAGTGGTGGCAGGGCCTCCCTGTGATGGGGGGCACCCATCACACCTCCAGTGCCCGGGCTTCTCCGAGAGCCACAGGACCCAAACGCTGGCAGATGCAGTGGAAAGGACCTGAAACAGTTTTCTGCTGGAGCCAAAGTGTCCTGAAGGCCTGATCCTAGCAAAACTTTACAATCAAGTGGTGGAAATGTAGCTTTGTTTGTATAACTCCACAGAACTGGGCCAAAGTGCACCAGATGATGGCAGGACTCGAAGCCCTATGATGGTTTTTGCTGTACACACATCCCCACAAACACACGTATTTAAAATTTCAGAATAGGACCAATGAGTGTAAAAGACTTCCCAAGAGGTGGTTGGCATCTCTTTTCTAAAACCTTAGTCACTTAAGTGCAGTTCTGTATAAATCATTGCTTATGATTTATGTTAACATTTAAATATAAACTATGAAATTGCTAGATTTTATCTCTTAATATATTAAAGCTTAGCCAGATATCCAAGAGTGTTTCTGATATACAGAAGATCTAAACAAGATTTTAAAATACATCTTTCAAGATACAGCTAGACCTAATTCCTTGAAAGACTTCATGGACATTCATAATTTCAGAAGACTGCTAACCTGATTGGCACATACAAGCAAATTTGATTGAAAATTAGGTTTTGTCATCATAGGCAAGTGCAAATGACACCACAGCCCACAAGAAAGCTGAGCTTCATTCAAATTGAGCCAGAGAAACTTGGGCCACATGCTTATGTTAGCAAAACTTTTTAAGATTATCTGCACAAATTTGGGCTCAGCTCTTGGAAAGCCTTGTTCTTGTACTTGAACAAATACCTTACGGCTCGTCCTTGATTACATACACAGTTTTACTGACACAAAAGCGCTTCTGATCAGTGTAATTTATCTATTATTAACCAAGGGAAAAAACCACATTTGATATAACTGTTCATTCTCAGTGTATGGTTTGTGCTCAGAAGGATTTTGAGGTCCTGTAGTGAGAAATTTGACAAATTATGTTTCTTATGTTAAGCCATGTCATAAAATAAAATATATGAGAAAACAGGATGTGGTTTTTTCTGTATAATTGTGTTTTCAGTTAAGTTTTTGACAGCCCAAGTATCTTAATTGTGTCATTCTTTTTAAAGAGATAGACCAAACCTTTAAGTCACAGCTCTATGACTCTGATGACTGTATTGCAGCTGCCATAGTTACATCAATCTAACGGAATAGATCACAGAAAAAAAATCATTCTTATCCTTTAGTACAGAATCACAATAAATGTCAGTATACCCTAAAAGAACCCAAACAAAGCAAAGACTTGAGAGGCTGCATCAGTGATAGCCAATCACATTTCAGGCCTTCTGCATTTACTAGTAAAGTTTTTTAAAAGTCTTTTTTGTTTTACATCCATTTAACACCACATTTGGATTAAGGATATACATTGGCTATTGTTGAAGAATCTGTAATAATTCTAAAGGCACATGGTTTAAGTATAAGATCTTTGTAGAAGGTGCACTTGGGAGTAATATGATATTTCCTTTTAAGTACTCAGGCCAATAGTCATACCATAGTTCATATTTTATTTTGCAGGTCATTACTTTAGCCTAAGAATCTGAATCATGTGATTGAGAATGTGATTTAGTAAAGATTAGAATCATAAAAAAGAGGAAGAATGTTGCAACATATAAGTTGTGCAATATCTTAAAATGAGCTTTAAAAATTAAATAGAGCTCGTATGGGAAAATTCCAGTTACACAAAGGAGAAGAATATGGACAAACTTTAGTTCAACATTTCTGTAATTCTTATATACGTTCCTCAAGTACCCTGTGTATGCCTTGAGGTAACTTATTAATTTTATTTGTTTACCATGTAACAGCTGTCACAGCGAGAGACCACACCTGAATTTGTCATTTAAACTGTGATAATGTCTCATCAAGTAAAGTCAATACATTTCTGGGTGGATAAAACGAACATGATTTTGTGTTTTCTAGCAGCTGAGTCCTAAAATTAGATTATGCCCAAACTAGTTCTTTTGCTAATATACTCAAAATCCAAACTAATTTGGATGTGCTGGGGTGGCTGTTCTGTGGTTTGAATTCTCAGTGAAAGCATAAAGGGAATTTTCATAAAGGTATTTGCTATCAGGTAGTACCTCCGGATCAATAAGAATCCCTGTACGGAGAATAGAATTTTCCTATTTTAAAAATTTGTGACAAGTTTGGAGAGAAATAGTTTATGATGGCTATGTAGTAATTAGATGACGATGAGTCTTTTGGCCCTAAAATATTTATTCCTTGTCTCCTCCACCTTCTTGTCTTTCCATTCTTCAGAATATTGTTTGGTTTTAGAATTCTATTGCATGAGATGGTGACACAAGTATAGGATTCTTCATCTTTTCAGTGGTGGCAGAGCTCGCCTAGGCACCACTCCAAATAAGTGAGCACATTTTTGTTTCAAATATGCCATTTGCTTTTTGTCTTTTTCATAATAAGAAAGGGACTGTCACCCATACTTTTTTTTCTAATCTTTTTTTTCCATAGCAGCAGATCAGAAGCAAAACGAAAATGAACCTAAGTCTTCATTTAGCTTCAGGGATTTTTCAGTGGAAAATATGACATTAAAAAGATTGTGTCCTTAAAAGTCCAGTGCAGTACTTTGTACATAGATTGTAGATGTAATTTAGTATTCTTGGTATGAAATTTCTTGAAAGCATACATCTATTGAGTTTAAAAATCAACAATAGCAAAATTCACCTATAAAGCTTGAAAAAAGCTTTAATTAAAAAATGGAGACCAGTGCAATTTTAGGTTATTTGGATTGCTCTTATGATGTGTTCCAAGAACTTCACATGGCTTTCTATGCATGTGCCAATTCCATTCTCTTCTCACCTAAAGTCCTTCAAAAGCTTTGAAGTGATTACAGTCCTGTACTTACCACAGAGCGGTTCCTGATTTGAAAAAGTCCTTGAAGATTGTCACAAGTGGCTGACTTTTTAAATAGAGTCCTTTGTCATATTAATGAAAACACTCCAGAAACACGAGGAAAAGATGTGAAGTTGAAGGTTAAAAAATGGACCAAATGAAACATGGATTAAAATGATTTTCAGATGTGTCAAACAAACAAACAAAAAAGAGTTAGTTTACTGTTTTTGTCAATTCCACTATCAAAGACGAATAAGACTAGTACAGAGTACAAGCTGAAACAAGTCTTCAGAAAGCATTACAACAAGAACTATTCTAGTAAAAATAAATGTTTTCATTTTCTCTATTTTTGCATCAGTTTTTCATAGAAAAGGATTCTTCCTTTATCCTAAACTTCCTCCTGTTGTTGGTAAATCATCTTAGCAACTGGTTACACAAATCCTTCTGGACATAGAAGGGGTTTGAGAGTAAATATTAATTTCTAAAGAAAATCAAGTCTTTTGAGATAGTCATACTCTTCTGTCTTGAACTTAACAAAATTGTCAAAATCTTTAAGAATGATTGCTTAAGTAGAGATTGCTTTCTCTTTTGGATGTTGAGAGCACAAGCATTCATGCTGAGCAGCTGTCATTTTGGCTGCACCCAGCGGTAGGTTCAGAAGCTTAGCACTGAAACCTAATCCAGCCTCACTGTTGGAAAGAAGAATATTCATCTTCTTGAATCACATAAAACCCCCACATCTAGCTAGTACCTGCTTGTCCCATCATACACAGAATCACAGAATCAGTTAGGTTGGAAAAGACCTCTGAGATCATTGAGTCTAACCTAGGACCAAACACCACCATATCAATTAGACCATGGCATGAAGTGCCACACCCAGGCTTTCCTTAAACACCTCCCAGGATGGTGGGACTCCACCACCTCCCTGGGCAGTCCATTCCAGTGTCTATCACCCTTTCCTCCTAATGTGCAACCTAAACCTCCCCTGGTGCAGTTTAAGACTATATCTTCCTGTCCTGTCGCTGGTTGCTTGGGAGAAGAGCCTGATCCCCACCTGGCTATAACCTCCTTTCAGGTAGTTGTAGAGAGTGATAAGGTCTCCCCTGAGCCTCCTTTTCTTCAGGCTAAACAACACCAACTCCCTCAGCTGCTCCTTATAGCACTTGAGCTCCAGACCCTTCACTTTGCTGCCCTTCTCTGGACACACTCCAGCACTTCAATGTCTTTCTTGTAGTGAGGGGCCCAGAACTGGACACAACACTTGAGGTGTGGCCTCACCAGAGGCCGTTGGCTTTCCTGGCCACCTGGGCACACTGCTGGCTCATTTTCAGCTGCTGTTCACCAACACCCCCAGATCCTTTTCCGCTCAGCAGTTTTCCAGCTGCTCTTCCCCCAGCCTGTAGCACTGCATGGGGTTGTTATGGCCACAGTGCAGGACCCAGCGCTTGGTCTAATTGAACCTCATACACTTGGCCTCAGCCCCTCAATCCAACCTGTCCAGATCCCTTTGCAGAGCCTTCCTACCCTCCAGCAGGTTGACACTCCCACCCTCGGAGAACAGTTAAGTCTCAGAATCTTTGCTCAGTTTCCAATAAACTTTGACATTAACTGAATCCCTTACATGTTTACATTTCTGACAGTAGAGTTCATTGGGTGCCTCTGTTTACACACACAATTGTGCCTCCTGGTACTGCCCAGTAACTGAAAACTCAGCTCACACCCAAATTATGTAAAGATTTAAGAACTAGATGTTTTCCATTGGCTTGACCAACAGAGCCTGATCAAATAGATATCAACTGATTGTATGTTGGACAAGAAAAAATAGACATTGGACAAGAAAAATAGTGTAAAGAGGTGACAGCATCACAGTATTGTTCCTTCAACAGAGCGCTCACCCTCTATAAAAGAGTCTTGCTTGAGGGCACTTGAGCCCACGTACTCTCAGGCATATGTTCATCTTGTGAAGAAAGGGCATTCTTTGGGGTGGATGTTTGCACATATGTAGGGAAAAGAGAGAAAAGGATTCTGTGATCAAGGTGTTCTGTTTTCTACACAGCAAATATTTTGTATATGTGGTGTTTTTCATATGTATATATCTATGCACATACTTATGTATATAAATTCTGTAGATATTCTCACACTCATGCTCCCTCTTTCTATCCCAGTGAATTTCTAATTATCCACTATAAGGGTGAATTGCTTCAGCAGAAGAGACAACACCTTGGGTGTAGACTACTCTTAAGCTGCATCTCATCATGGCTAGGCTTTGCGAACGAAGATTTGGGAAAGGTCTCTACCCATGTTTGTTACAAGCGCGCTGGTGGCTAAAAAGACCAATACAAGACAGGCATATCCGGTTGCAAAAGGCACAGCAGAGAGACTCCTTAGGTGGTAAATTCTGCAGGGCACGATTCTTTCTGCGTTGTCTTTTCTCCTCAAGATCCTGCGTGCTTTCTCAAAGGCATCAGCGGCGTTAAAGATAGTGTGTCTCCAGACCTCCTGATTGGAGGCCAGAGTAGACCAGTTATGTTGATCAATATGGCCAAGGCTGAGATGTTGTTTCAGGGAGTCCTTGTATCTTCTCTTCGGGGCTCCTCATGCGGCAGCTGTTGGCAAGTTCACCCTTAAGCTGCATCTACATTAGTAAATTAAACCCCTCCTAGGAACATTCCTGGGCATTGGAACACAATTACTCTCCTGGGGTAAGATCCTTTTAAGACAATCAGGAAATTAAGCCAAATTCTCTCACATCTTAAGATGTGAGATGCCATTAGATATGTTTTACTCTATCACAGTGTTAATTCAGTGGATAAAAGAAATGCCATTTCTAAAATGTCATTTATGTAATCATGTCATTCATGAACAAAGTATTGCTCTGTCACATCTCTGCACGTTGAATACAGAAAAGGAAGAAACAGTTCAAATAGTATGCTCTCAAAATACACTTTCTTTATGAAAAGGAAGATTCACTACTACAAATGTAGGCTACATGTTCAGCAGAAGATATGTTTAAAAGCCCTATCCCCAAAACAGCAGTTCACACAAGTTACATTTTTCTTAGGATTTCATGTGTACATCTCATTTATGTTTCACGAATCTCAATTAACTGTTAATTTCTTTCTCTTCCTGCTTTAGTGACACTGGAACAAAACCTCCAGAAAGTGGTGTCTTTGGTTTTATGATTAATATTTCAGCTCTTTTAGGTATGTATAAAGAACTTGGTTTGACCAGAAGGAAGAAATGAGAATTAGCAAAAGCTGTCTGCTTATATTGCAGTCCATTCAGTATTCTGCACAAAAATTACTCCACAGTCAAATGGTAGTGTCAGATAGATGTAAGTAATAGCCAGAGGGCCAGGTCCTTAGGATCAGTTAGTGCAGGCTTAGAGGCACTTATGTCTCTTAAGAGCACCTCATCAGGGCAAAGTAGTCAACACGGCTGGAAATAAAAGAGGAAGAAAGATGGTATAATTACTGTGCAAAAACTCTGTCTCTGATATGGGGACACTTCAGTTGCTAATATACTGCAGCAAAGGGAAGAATTGTGTTGAAGCAACATCTGGTTTTATCCGCAACATGCTTACTTCTCTACAAAATGACTGATGGGAATCAGGAAGTTTGGCATTTTCTATTCACTTCTAGGGGATGGAGGATCGATAGCTGTGTAGTCTACCATGGCCTTAAGGCAAAGTAAAAATCACATATTTTATCTTTTGTAAGACCCTCATTCAACGACACTATCTTGGCATCTTTCATGTAACCTCACAGTGCCTGGGCAAAGCTACCTGATGTATTTTTCCAACTGTAGATAGAACAAAACTATGTTCTGTGTTATATGGAACTGTGGAATCCGGTCTATGGCTTATTATTTCCTGATGAACCACGATTTTTTTATCCAGTACAGGTGTTTGTCAGGAGTGAACTGCATATTGGGGTCACATATGTAGGACTGCAAAAATGAATTGATTTTACAGACCATCCATTATAAGGAGATGTAGTTCTCGTAAAAGACTGTGTATCAGAGCAGAATAAAACCTCCCACTTCCAGCTTATAGTTCATCTCCCTGTGACATCCGTTCCTAATGCGGAATGGCAATGCCTCTGCCCAAAAACACCCAGGAGAATGGGATTTAAATTGGTGTTTTTCTTGAAGTGATGTACAGTTATTCCTAGATAGCAATAATGTGTGACATTAAGGCTAAGATAATGTTAAAGTTTTATCTGAAAGTAATATATCTGAAATTCACTACTTTTTTCTTCATCCCAGTAGATTTAAAGGCAATATTAGTTACTGTATTATGCTTATAATTTCATTCTGCATGCTCCTTTGTAACAGGAAAAGGTGTTAAAATATAAGCAATACATGATCATTGAACAAAATATATATTTTGGTTTTTTTTTCAGGTGTAATTACAATGTACATCAGATATTTATTAATAGAGAAGCAAAATGAGTCATCGCGCTTTGTTAGGTCTTCGTGCAACATGTTTTCATTATGTATTGGATTGATGGGCTGTATTGGAATGGGTATAGTTGCAACTTTTCAGGTATGACCATAAATTTCATGTCATAAATGAAACTAACATTGTTTTACCAGTTAAAATTTCAAATAGGTAAAAGTGATTAACACTATCCCAAGGTGGATAATTGGCAAATGAAGTAGGAATGCCTTTCTTGCTCCTGCCTTTATTCAGTAGCTTTAAAGAGATAGATTTGTTTTCTCCCTATATACTAGATTTTTTTCTTGTGCAGTTATGTCAGTAAGGGGTTTTCTGTGTGCTTGTCTTGTAAAAGGTCTGTACTATAAAACAGCTTAATATGGATGCTTTTGCTGCAAAATTTTTACTATGAGAATTGGACTGTGAAAAGCTTTGCTATTCAAAGTTTAGTTTGCTTCCAGTTAGGGAGGGCAAAATAAGTCAGACTAACAAATGCACCTGCATTTTTACCTGAATGATGGCACACTCACTAGCAGAACTTCCTACAGAATAAACTAGACTTACCTGACAAGTCAGAACATTGAGCACAGTATCAGCCTGTTGTTTTGAGTCTGTGGGAGATGGCATAACAACATATTAAGTCTTTATTTATAGAGACATGTAGAATTACTGCTTACTTTGCCAGAAGGAATTTGACATCTCATTAAAAATCAAAATCCACTCCTCAGTGTCTGAAAGAAAATTCAATAGAGACAAAAAATACTGAAACAGATTATTAATTTCACCTTTTCTGGTGAGGAAGTGTGTGATAGGGTAGATTCTGACACAAAGAAGTATTAGGACAATTGCACTGAAAGCTTCAGCTTAGAATCGAGTAAAATCTAATTGGCAGATAGTTTGAGACACTGCCTTTAAATCTGTGGAAACAGCTATATTATTTCTTTTAAAGGGTGGCCTACCTTGGAACAGTTTGGTAAATACTGGTGTGCTCATACTGTGACCTGACAACATATAGAGGAATTGAAAATAAAGATTGTCAGGGCTTCAGCAGCCAGTACAGTTTTACACGTAATGGACATGGTATTTTCAGACAAAAACGCTGCCTTAGACTGATACCTTACCCTTTTTAATTTTACATCCAGGCAGTATGTGTGGATTGCAAACACCACAGGCACTGTAGTCTATTCTAAGCACACTGTTTTACTTTTAAAAATCTGTACTCTTATCAATAAGATTTATATGTGGCACAAAAAAAAGATGGATGATGGGGAACAGCGTTGCTTGACTGAAATAGAAAACAGACTCAGCTTCAATAAGACAAATTCAAGAATGCAAAATAATTGTGACAGTCAGGGAAGCAGAAACTTTGATGCTAATGTTCCCAAAGGGGTCCCTTGACTGTTATAACATTCGCTCTTATCTCATCTCTGTTTTCTCTCATTGCCAGTTTTAAACTCCTTCCTTACCTAATTTCTATTTTTTCTGCTTTGACCTTGCTTTCCATGCTAAGTGCAGTTTGTAGAAAGGGTTCAGAACACAGTAAGGATCTAATCTTGCTAAGCAGCTCCCTAGCTGATTTTTGAGCATGCTTACTTGTCCAGGAAGCTGCAAATGGTGGCTTGCAAGTCTTTAGTCTTTTAACTGTATAGTGTACAACCAGTGAACAGTACATTCCTATCCCCATTTACCCATTTAGTAGAATAAATGAGACATAAAGAGGATGTGAGATTTGTTCAAGGTGATTGTTTCAGGTCAGGAGATCAAAGCAAAGCTGGAATTAGAAGTTATGTCTTTAGTATTCAGTCTAGTCCCTCTAATCAGTGTGTCATGCAGGAAATTTATGTTCATGGGCACTACCTGTTAGTTTCTTAACACCATACCTGAGTACTGTAGTAGAGCTGATTGACACTACTGGGCATCAGTAGTGTCAATCACATCATCACATCATCTCTTTCTCCAGAGCAAAATACCTAGTCTGCTAAAAAGGCTTCGGTGTGAAATTATACTTGAAATATTTAAGGTTTGCTTTTATTTACTCAATCTAGTGCCACTTGTGGTGAGTCTTTTAAGTGGCATAATTAATTGTAGGGAAATTTTTTTCAGCCTTTTTGCTTCAAGGTGAGACAGGGTAGGTAGCATGGAGGTTTAATGGTATTGATGTCTGAACACTTAGTAAAAGTGAAGAACAAGGTGGGACAAAACACTAAGAATGTGTCCCTTAAAAGCAAATGATTTTCTGAGAAAATAAGAAATGGTCGTGAATGTTTGTTCTCTGTTTTAAATAACACAATGCTTGAAATACAGAAATGAAAGACAGTGGAGGGTTAGCTTTAAGAAGATAATTGGATGTGGAAGGCAAAACCCTGTAGTCCTTAATGAACAAGGCAAAGTGAAATCCCAGGTCGTAGCAGCTCTGGTTTTGCTTGTTAGACATTACACATGACTAAAGAGTGATCTTCCTGCCTTTGCCTGGAAAAGTTAGGAGGCTTACTGTAGCACATGTACCAACAGGTCTCAGGTTCTGTAGGGATTGAGTGTGATGGTCTTTTTAAAGGAAACTGTGACAGTTTGATAGGAGCAATCACGACAGCCATGTTAGCAAAGCTCTCTGTATTGTGTATAGGGCTAAATGCAATGCTTGTTTAATACTTTCCATACCAAATCCTGCCATTCCTGTATATATAGGAGGCAAAAATTGGGACAGAGGAGAAGAAAATGCAAGTATAGATGAGCTGCCACTTAAATACCTATGTGAGGAACGTGCTTTAAATTCTGGTAGAACTTAATACGTCACAGAGAGATAAAAGGGAATGAGTATAAAGAAAAACCTGGGGAAAAAGAATTTAAGAGACCACGTGGACATAACCACCATTACAAGACAAAGAAAACAGTGGCCTCCAGGCAGGAAAGATGTTAAGATACGTAATGAAAGGGTATAGATATGTTTTCATGAATCAAGAAAACAGATCTGTAGTAGATCAGTTCATAGGTTCATACCACCTGTTTGGTTACACTCTGGTGACAGAAAGGAGCTTTAAACGTAACTTACCTGACTGATATTGGATTCCAATGTGCCATATCTTTGGTTTTGTAAAAGTTTTTGAAACATTTAGAATACAGTAATTTCTCTGGAATCTTAATCTCTTTTGCTACTGGATATGCTACTTGTTTTTATTATAAAGGAGAGAATTTTCCATAGGCAGGATATTACAAAAATATAGGCCACATATATATATTTTATATATATATATTACTAATATTCTCCTAACTTATTTCTTGGAGCCTTGTGATTGGCCACTGGAGGGTGGGGGATGGAGCTATAGGAGTCACTATTTAGAACCCTTGACATTTTACCATTACAGTCTGGCCACACAAATGGATATCAGAATTTCAATATGGGGTTAAAATCTATCAGGGTATGGGGAAGAAGGAAGTATAAGAACCTTTCAAGAAAAACACAAGCCAGTTCCTGTTTGTGAAAACATTAATTGGTATTAGAGCAACTGTTGAACAGAACTAAAACTGATCTAAACTTTTACATGAACATGGGAAAGGACTGACCCAGTGGCTTTGGACATGGTTAGTTTACTTCTCTGAGCTACTCTTTTCCTATTTTCTTTAGTCTTCCCTGTGTAGACTGTTTGGAAAAGGGACTGTTTCCCATTCCTTGTGTGTGCCCAACATAATGTGGCTGCTGTCTCCTCATGTCTCATTGATTCCTACCACTACTCAGATAGTAGCAGCTAACCATTATGCTGATTCTTTTTCCAGGAGCTGGCTGTTCCCAGTGTCCATGACATAGGAGCTTTGGTGGCATTTGGCTCGGGTGTTGTATACATTACACTTCAGTCTATAATCTCTTACAAGTCCTGTCCACGATGGAACTCTTACTTTGTGTGTCACATAAGAATGGCCATATCTGCAATATCATGCATTGCTTTCATTCCCAGTATCCTTTGTGGTGTATCCCACGGTTTTCCCTTTATGTGTTCATGACTTTCCTTTTAAGTTAAAACATTGTAGATAAAGGATGAAAATGAAGTTACACTCTTTGCTTAGGGCTCTTTAATGCATATAATATAGCATGTTGAGACACCATTAATAGCATAAAGATGGGGTCTTCTAAAAAGCTTTATCTCTTATTTCAGTGGTATATTTCAAACCAATTCCCCAGTGTTCTTCACAGGATCATACACTAATAAAGCTAGACCAACTTTCCAACCTCCTTCATTTGAAGGAGAGAAGGGAGAAAGGCCTGCAAAAGGGAGGCACTGCTTCTACAATGAACCAAACACACAGATGTATAAAAATACAGGTGGCAAGATTTCCTTCAAGCCTTAGCAGGTGATTTTGATCATGTTGGTCGATGCTAGTCTTCATTAGTTGCCTCCCCTAAAGACACACTCAACACACTGGCTTTTCCCATGGCATGCTGAAATTTAGAGCCATCCCATTAATTTCATTGGATTTGGGTGATCTGCCAGCGTTGAAAACTGGTCACAGCAGATTCATCACATTAGTCAGCCAGATATAGCCTGCTTTTGGTTTCAGCAGGTGGGAAAGTGTTTTTAAAGATGCTCCCAGTTCCTGAGAGGAAGTTGTACAAATATATCAAGCACCTATTGTGGACCAGTGGAAACCAACATAGTTCCCCTTCCAACAATGAAGGACTATGCTCCCACAGTTCTTGATCACAAATATGATCTAAGTTTTGGAGTGTCTCTCCTTATTGTCTATATTTTGAAAGAACCAACAGAAATGTGTTTTGATTGCTGCTGCCTGTTACCTTGTGATAATGTGTTTCATTTACTTGTTTTCTTAATATCTTGATTTGATATTCTGGTTGTTCAGGTTCTGCTGTTTTATAGAAGGTGAAGATGGGGTGTTTTTTTTTTGTAAGCAAACATTTTCACTATTACTCACTAAAATTTTATGGTTTTCCTTTACACTGTTTTTCCCAGTGATTGTGTTCGCTTCTCAGGTTTCCATGACAAAAATTGATTGGACTCCAGGTGAAAAGGTAAAATCTTATTAGGTAGCCAACTTACCCTCTATCATATTATTTTGGGAATGCTGTTATATTTATCTAAAAGTGTCTAGCACTAGAAACATTTTAGAGACTTTAAACAGTGCATTATCATGAATAGATTTGTGCAATGCTGGTTACTTTTCATTAGAAAAGTGTATGTGGCTTGGGTAAGGAAACTTGCAACGGATGGTTCAGTCTTTAGAGAGTTAGATTTTCATTTTAACCAAGCATTTGAAACTTTCCTATAGTAAAGAAAACTTTCCCACTGTAAAAAAAAAAAAAAGAAAAAAAGATATTCTGGAAATTAGTTGTTCTACTTCCTCAATTTCTTGAAAATGAACTTTACACATGAAACAAAAACGGACCAATTTGATTCTGAAGTTTCTGAGGTTTTTTTACAGCATTGGTTTTCTCAGCTTTTTTACTATTCTTTATTAAATAGTCTTTATTATTGCCATAAATATTTGGGATCTGACCTGAAGCACACTTAAGTCAATATTAGGTATTTTAATTGATTTCAGTGTTCTCAGAATGATAACTATGAAAAGTAATTTTTATTTTTGGACAAATTTTGCCACAAGGAAGTATTAAAAAACAGGTAAAATAATGCTTGAAAAGCTTAATAAAATCAAACTTGGCAAATGTACTTCAACCAAACAGTGGCAAGGCTGCCGTGAGATAAGTCTTTACAAGTTAGACAATCTTAGTAATACCTTGAGGTTTTGTTTGTTTTGTTTTGTTTTTTTTTTTACTTGAGATGCACTTATCATTCTGTAAAAACAAAATCTGAATTATACAACAGGATATTGAAATGATGAGTCATAAATCTTATATTGAATTAACAGAAGGAAATGTCTATAGCATTCCATATGTATTCTGTTCAGCTGTTTTATTTGAAAATTTGTTTTATGTCTCATTCCGTCAGGATTATACTTATCATTTCATGAGTGCAATCTGTGAATGGACGGTGGCCTTTGGTTTTATCTTCTTCTTTTTAACGTTCATTAGAGATTTTCAGGTTGGTATCTACATATTTTAGCATTTTTTAGTGACTAAGTGCTATGAATTGTATAACAACAAATGCAATTGAAAATTACCATTCTTTATGTCAGACAGATACACCAAAGCTATACAAAGACAAATTTTGCCAATGTCAAAACTGATTTCTGTCTAGGTAATGAGTATTTTTCCCCTCATTTTTAAAACATAAAATTCAGTTTAATAGTAAATTAGGTATCTGGTGTGGACAATTATTCAGTAAATTAATATATTCTACTTATTTACCAATCTTTTTGAGAAAGAGGCCCTCTAAAGTTGATGTAGTAAAAAAATAAATTATGCAATTAAAACTGCATTTCTTTCTACCTGAGCATTTTTATATAATAATCCAATGCATTTCAACAATGGATGTTTCCTTTCTTTTTAGATATTACACATTTTCCTTGACATTCCCTCACAGTCCAAAAAAAATCAAATAATTTTTGGAAAATTTCTGACAAAAAGACATTCTGGTTTGGGTAGCTGGATCTGGTGATGCATCAAGCCTGAATTTAAGGAAGAGAAAATACTAGATTAGTTAAAAGAAAACACTTTTATATGACTTAAGAAAAGCATGCTTTTCCCAAGCTTTGCCTTGCCAGCTCTTGTTGCTTACTGAGAACTGCTGCTTTATACCATAGTGACAAAGATGAACTGACTCACTCATAATCACTGTAGGTCTCATACCCCATATGTAGGTCTTTCATTTATAGCACTGCCTCACACAAGTCCCAGAAAGTTGAAAACTAGATCCAAGTAAGTATGTGCATAAGTGTAGAATATGAGAACAAATTGGTGCTGTGATAAACCATATCCAGAATTTGTGGAGGTGGGAAGGGTGGAAAAATAATGAGAACCCTCTATGTCCTCTAGTGTAAAACCAAAGTTTGGCATCAGATAATGTAAAACTTTGCCATTAATTCACTTCCTTCTTCACTTACAGCATGGAAGTAGTAAATACCTCTATATAATATGTACATAGCTTTCTAAGCACGTACAGAAATCAATTTGCAACCAAGGATTCAGAGTTAACATATATTTTACTAACCAACAGCAAACATTTCTATGTCTGTTTAGTTTTGACTTAGTACTGAATAGACTGTGGCTGTAGGGCTTTTCCTTATTAAATAATAATAAAATCCCCCAGGTTCAGCAGAAAAAAGCACTTCAATTTTTTTAAAAAAGTACTTGTTCAAAATTATACAATGCATGATCTTAAGGGTATATAACTGCCTTCTAAAACTGACAGAATTATTGAAGTACCATTCAGAAATGCATGCATCATTTAATGCACCATTTTGTGGGGAGGTGTTTATTGCTAGTCTATCACTCTGATGCCTGCATATATGATGGCATCTCTTTTATCAAAAGTCAGACTCTTCCCCTGGAGATGGATATTAGCAAGACAATGCTGTAGTCCTCAAAATACTTATCAACAAGTTTTAGTTGATAATTTTACTTCTGATCACAGTGTTAAACATTCAAAGTTTAACTATATATAAATATTGTGAACATAATAAATAGGAGAAAATGATGGAATTAAGAAACTAAGAAAAATTAAGAAAAATCATCCCCTTTTTAAAAAAAAATTCCCATAGGATGTATTTCTCTTAAACACTTTTTTCTTTTGTTTTGTTTTATCTCCTTGTACGTTAGATTGCAGAACTGTAAAATTAATTTATCTTAAGCTGATCTTGGTTTTTTTTTTTTTTAGAGATTTTCTTTGAGGATATCAACAGAAATATATGAAGACTTCTGATAGTGAAAAATAAAAATATTTTATATCTGTGAATATTCTAGGTTTCTTTTTACTCATAGAAAATGTTACAGAGGGACAGGGATTGATAAATTCTATTAAGAACCCATGCCATTAACTCTGTAACATCTATAACAGCATCCACTAAAAGATTTTAAAAAAAACACAGCAATGTTCCTGCTGCCTTTTTGTAATATTTTGTAAGTTTTATACAGTTTGTTATATTAAAAATACTGTAATAGAAGCAATCCCTAGAAGCACTGCAAAGTCATTCAAGGACTCGATCTCCTCAGATCTTCCCTTTTGGACATGTTCATACTTTATAATTTGCTGTAGTCTAATTAGCAACATTAGTTTTAAACTGGAGAAAGTACATTTTGCAAACAGTTAGGAAAGTCTGAAGGGAATGGAAATCACTAAGGCTGAATTCCTACTCTATCAAGTTGCAAGGGCTGTGGAAGATGTTGAGAGCAGAATTGGGCATCTTTGTTTCAAGACTAGAAATTTAAAGTTAGTAGGTGATAACACTATGCTACAGGTTTCTGATACTGGCCATTGTATACAAATACAAATGCTAGGAGAAGTTTAAACTATATTGCTTGAAAAGGTGTTTTCTAATCATCACTGCAATATGTAAAAATTTACCCCTTTTTCCCTTTTATGCACTGCTGGCCATAGGAAACTTACAACTAAAGTGGGAATAGAAAGTAAACTTACATTTATGCATGCCACACTAAAGAGAAATCTTATTCCGATTTGGTTAACTCAAAGCAGAAATTTCCAGCCTGTGTTTTAACCTACAATGATGGAATGAAGAAGGTCTCCAAAAAGTCTTTGGAAACGAATGGAAAACAAGTAGATTTCAGATGTTTGGTCCTATGTGTATGAGTATTATATATATAAAACTGAAGAAAAAAAACCTGGAGAGCATCTGTAGGGAAGGTATGGCATATTTGCTGCTATATACTTCTGTAATGAAAAACTGAGAAAGGAGCTAATTGTGGAGTCAGATGTTACAGGTATCTGCAGGCAAAAAGTTCTTTTGTGGACTGATCTGCTACCTCCATTCAGTGCATTAGCCACTTGGCTGTCAGTTCAGTTCTCTGAAAATTACATTTGCCATACTCTATCACAGTTTATGCAGAAATATTGATGATTTTCAGTTGCTAATTTTCCACAAAATAAAACGAATGCGTGTTTTGGACGGTGATGTTTTAAGATTAGTCGTATGTTGATATTTCCTTTAATGTGTATTTTAAACTGTATTAAATTCAGCTGCTTCACAACATGAAGAGTCGATGTTTTCTTTATAAGTTCTTCCAAATAAAAAGAGTAAAAATGTTTTTCATTGGCAGATTTACTTTCCATAGTAATCAGGTTATCTTTCAGGGGTTGATAGCTACAATCAAATTCAAAATCAAACCTAGTACTGACTAAATAAAGCACCTATGTCTTGCTGATTGGGTATCCTGCAAGGGACACACATTCTTTCAAGAGAAGATCAGAAATATTCAAAAGAAAATGTATATCAACCATAAGAATTAACATCCTGTTATTTTGAAGGCCATGTTAAGAAAAGACAATATTTCTTACTATGCTATGTATTGTTCTTCTATTGTTTTTTATTCCTAGTTTTCGTAAACTAAATTATAAGAAGCTTGAAGTTGTTATTGCAAATGATAACCAACCTTTACAGTGATTACAGTATCCTAAAGGGGGGAAAAAAATGTTCAGGGTGAATTAAGATAATCTTGTTTGCTGAAATCAATGTGTTAATTCAAGTACTGAAGAACTACTGAATGAAGTACACATGGTGTAACTCTTGGGGATAGTCCTGTGCAGGGCCAGGAGCTGGACTCGATGATCCTTGTGGGTCCCTTCCAACTCGGCATATTCTGGGATTCTGTGAAATCCTTCACCTTTTTCTGAGCTTTATCATGGTACATTTTAATGAGAGCTATATTCATGACCAAAAGAATACATTGCCAACCGTGTACCTTTTATTAAATTTGTTAGGCCAAAAACATCAGCATGCATCGACATGCAGATAGAGACAATGGATTATTTCCTTTTTATTTGTGCAGTGAACAACTACTGAAAACACTGTGATTATTCTCTGGCTCCAGGCAGATTTTCAGTCAAGAGCTTAATTACTTTTTCAGTTGAAATGGGAGTTGACAAGTTGCAAGCAATTGCAAAAAAATATTATTCTAGCAAGGTGTACTATTTTAGCTGTGTCTGACTCTTGTTAGTTAATACCCTTTCATTTTTTAGAAGCAAGTGATCTCTACAGGTTGGTATGGATAATGTCGCAAAGATTTCTGTTGCTTTTTCTATATTTTCCGACTTCTTAGCAACAAGAAATAGCTATTTTTTCTTGGAACCTATACTAGAAATATTTTCATCATCTGCTCTGCATGATGTTTTCTATTTGTCAGCCCATCAGCAGTGATTGAGAAATTCCTTTTACGTAAAATACGGTAAATCACATGACAGTTGCTGTTATTTTTAGTGGTTATGTTAAATCATTCTATCCCTTCCAAAAGTGCAAAGGCTCATTTTTCTAGGTTATGCAGCTTGATCTGCAGATGAAATACCACTGGTGTGGTCCCTGTCACAGTTCCAGATCATGTCACGTAAGGATGAAACTCAATCAACTCAAAATACCTAAAACCAACTTTGTCTTAGGACACTGTTACTGGCACTGCTTTTCCTTCCTATGTGCGCTAAGCCAGTGATCACCATATATTGCACCTTTGGCTTTTCTCATGAGGTCTTCTGAATTTTAATTTCTGATCTGCTCTGTTTGCACACTGCCTTGTGTGTGACAGCAGCATATGTTTGACAGTAGTAAAATAATCTTGATGGCAAGGGATTTATTACTTTGTCCTGATACTTGTTGCAAAAGTTTCAAGCAGAACAGAGTGATTATGGTAACATGTCAGTGAATTTTTGACATTCTGGTATGAAGTTTGTAAAGACATTCAAGACGTTGGTATTTTAAACTGCTCTGTAAATACAGTCTTAGTCTCAATATTGATACCACGTTTTCACAAGCCTTCAGGTTTTAGAGGGCCTGCTTGAAGATGGCAGAGTGTTTGGGGTTGGTGAACTGTTCCTAGGGGTTTACAATGTCCACTAGAAATATTCTCTCTGGAAGAAGCTGGAAGAGCTGTTCTCCTCCAAGAAACAGTGGAAGGCAGCATTTTAAGAAGGGATAATGTATATTTCCTTGGAAGATGAGCTTTGACTAAACCCATCACAGTTGGGTCCGTCTTTCACTGCATTTTTGTGGGTGTGCATGTGCTCATGTGGTCAACACATGCATGTATATACAGTATTGGTATGGTGAAGCCTGACAGTGGTTAGAGTCCTGTATGTTGCTGAAATACACATAAATAATAATACTTGGTGTATTTTATAAATAACACAAGGGGTTTAATGAGTTTTGGCTACATTTTTTAATTGGTATTGTAATGCAGAAAGACCATTTCTCACATCTTAAGGAGAAAATAGGCAACTCCTACACATGGTATCTGTAGTTTTCCCTGTACACAATAGATGGCACTAGGAGACTACATGATCCGGGTTTATTTCCCACTTTCAGGCTGGCAAGTCCAATAATTTTTGTAGGTAGCTTTAATTGATTTTAATAGTCGTCTGGAGGCCCAGTTAAATGATTTTTTTATTATGCCTTTGTGGAAAACAAGTCAGATCTAAGTTTCCTTGCCATTCCTTCCTGCCTTCATCTAAGTAAATATGTTTTGCTACTGCAACATGTAGTTTCATAGCAACTTCAATTTCAATTTAATTTGTCTAAGTCAAAGGAGCCACTTGCTGCAGTTAGCACTGGTGCAAGCTGCAATCCAGCTGTCATTATTAAGCCACTTCTCTTGGGAAGTTTTTCCTACCCTATTACAAAGAAGGAGCATTTTATTCAGTTGCTTTAATAGAATTCTGTCAGTTTGCAATGGAGCATCAGAAGACAATATAGACCTTATTTTCATGGGACAACAATATAAAAAGAACAAGATTTTAACTTTTCAAAATTGCAGCCAGTCTGCACCCAGAAAGAGCAATGTGTCAGGTTGTAAAAAAAATTCAAAGGCAGCTGCTGTATCTATTTAAAATGCACTTTTGTGTATGTATAATGCCTTTTTTCACTTATTTCCTTGCCTAATGAAACATTTAGTTAGCATTTTTTGCATGTCCTCTGTGAAGTGTAGCAATAATCTGGACCTCTGAACATTATTTCACCTGCAATGATACAAGCTCAGCATTCTCAGTCTTAAATAAACCACACTGAGCATGGATAATCCTCTACAAACTCTCATCAAATGTTGTATGGATAAAAAAAATATAGAAAGTGCTCTGACAAAGTAAGAATATATCATTATTATAGACATCTTTAACACAGTAGAACCTTCTTAGTCCACAACAAGTCCTCTCCCAACACAAACAATTTTATTCATTGTAAATAGAAGGTACATTTCAAAGAAAGTTTCTCTGATGAACATCTAGACTTTCATCATAAGATCTGCAGGAACAATCTCTGTAGCCCTACTTTTATTAGAGCTATTAGCAGCTGATGGATCTCCATGCAAATAGTTATCTTTCCTGCCTTTCAAACTGCATCAAGTGACTGAAACACATTAGATAGTTTGCATGGAGATTTTTCTTTTGGTTTGAATTATTCAAGAGCATTTTGCTATGGAAATGGCAAGAAGAAGAGTGTTGGCAGCACAGACTAACATCAGCTTGGTAAGATGGTCACAGCAAATGTCACTAAAATTTGCAATGTCATGGACAGAAAAAGACAGGTTGGTATGAGAAGATCATGTCTGCTATAAGGGTTTTGGTTTGTGTTGTTTTGCTTGGCAAAAGTGGAAACTGTGCAAAAAAGTCAATAGCTTAAAGTTAATTTGAAGGGTCTTGTGGAAGATTAGGGAAATTCTAACAAGGAAAAAGGAAAAAATACTGTTAAAGAAATATAATATATGCCTTTGCTTTTATCTTTGAGCATAAAATCTTTGTTCATTTTAGCTAGAATATGGAACTATTTATAATCTCTCTGTCCGTGGGTGACTGGGTGATACAATTCTTGAATTGTACAATTCAAAGGACTTTTTGTTGACCAAATCAACCAACTTCCCCCCTAAACATCCAAAGTGTAGATACCTCAAAAACATTGACTATGCTCCAACCAAATATTCTGAAACAAGGTCTTATGCACCTAGGCTTTGTCACGTCCCATCATTTCTAGACTGGCTCTGTCTTTTCAAGTATTCTGTGCTAGATTTAATTCATATGGGTGACCTGGGAAAGACAAAGGCTGTTATAGTATAAACATTGTTTTATACAATTGCTAGTCTTTTTCCAAGGTTTGTTTTTGATAATAAAATAATTTGTGTGGGTTTTTCCCCTCTAAAAAGTTATAAATATAATTTTGTACACATTTGAACCTTCAATAGGATTACACGCAAAATCTCGTCTTTACTGCTTAAAAAGGATTTTGACCATAGGTCTTGCTCTTCAGGCAAAAACGTAATGTTCAGAAATGCCTCTGAAGAAATATCCCTGTTTTCTTACATAGAGCTATTTAGTCTTTGAAGATCCAAATTCAATAGAAGATAAGAACCTTTGCTTGAAGGAAAAGTGATCTTCTTCTTTAATCAACTGATATCAGATTCCAAGCCTTCTACTGGCTTTAACTGTCAGTATTTCTTGCTCTGCCTAGCAAGCGCATATGTTGTTCATAGAGCCTGGGGATGTTTCCTGAATAGCTTCTGGTGTCAGCAGAATAACCTCAGGGATGAATCTGGAAAACAAGTTATCTCCCTGTAAGCAGTTCGAAGGAGACGTTAAGCTCTAAGACTCAGCTTGTTCTGCTTCCGCTCCTTAAACCCAACTTGTTTTCTTACTGAGGAAACAGAAACAGAGTGTTCAAAGTGAAGTATTTAGACTTGAGGTCTCAGAATGGATACCACAGCTACAAAAGGATGTAGTTCTGATTAAGCCTCTAACAACATTTAATTTGAAATTCAGCGCAATTGTGTGCAAAGATCATGGCACTGTGGCAAGATCTGAAGTAGCTGTAACATTCTTAGAAGCAACTGAGGAGCCAGGAGCCAAGCTTCAGCAAGCACTTGTTTTCTCAGGAGTGTGGAAGCTTTCCATTGGCATGGCTTCCTCTGGGTTTTGGGGGCACAGAGATGGCGCCATTTCTTATTTCTCCCTTTGTCCTCTGTCCTTCTGTGTTACCTAATACTCAATTCACACAAATTGTGTTGGCAAACAGTTCTCCTAGTATGTTAGTATTAGGATGTGGTTTCTGTGATTCTGTTCCAGAAATCATCTTTCTTCATGACAGTCAACAAATTAGCCTTACTTTCCTCCATTTTGTGGTCTCAATTTGATGTCTGGGGAATTTAAACGTATGCAGGTAGTAAGTCATGGGTGCTCTCTGACCTGACTGCAGACCAAAATCAACTCTCAACTGAGATCTTGCATACAGCTGGCATGGCTAGTTAGCTTAAAAGTGTTTAAACCAAATATTTGGGGTAATTATAGTATTATAGAAGATTTTAAAGGGTGATTGCCAGTGCTGTCAAAGGGTGAAGCTGACATTTTTTCAGTACCCCTCCTTGCCAAAAAGCTTTAAAATTTGAACGCTATTATTGTATTAGTATAGGTTTTTAGTCTTGAACTGAATTTAAAACATGCTTACTGTTTAGGGTAGGCAATACAAAATCCTGATCTCTACTTTCCTGGAATTTCAACCAAAAGGAATGGTACAACATTATATAATCATATTTTTTAAAAATCAACTTGCAGTTTTACATGGCATCTTGTGTCTGTTCGTGGCAGCCAGAACTGAGCGTTGCCATTGAAAACAGAGAGTCATGGCAGTATATTCACTCCAAAAATACCTTCTGGTTGCAAAAATATTTAACAATGTTAAGACTAAAGAGGAGTGAGAGGAAACTAAAGAAAGACAGGATTGGAAACTGTTCATTGCACAGTCAGATAAAAATTCACTCTGGAAAAATGCAAAAACAGACAAATAAAAAACAATTTCTGGAGTAAAAATGCAATCCTGCCGACCACCGAGTCTTCTTGAGTAGGGGTTGAAGGATGAAAGGGCGTTGACTGTCAAACCACTCAGTTAAACTCAGTGAGCAAATAGCGCTGGACATCAAGCGTTCAGCTCGGGACTGGGGACAGATAAGTCTCTCATGGATTTCTAGGAAGAACAGAAGCACTGCCTTTGTGCATACCTCTGGGTTTTGGAAAAACAGAAGTCTCGGAAACCAAAATCCTAGCAATACCATGGATGGGTTATTGAAAGCATCCCATAAATCATACTAGCAGTTAAACAGCATGACAAAACAGGAATTAGTGATGTCTCAGTTTTCTTCAAGAGGAGCTGGAGATGGGTCATCATCTGCAATACTAGATTATGTAATCTAGCAGTTCCCATGTATTTGTGTTGTATTTGTGTCAGTTGCTCTCAAGGCATGCAGACTCAGAAACAGATCTAAAGACTGGAAGCTGAGAAAACAGGTAAGAGGAGAGTCCTTGTACGAAAAAAGAGGGAAAGGAAAAGGTAGGACTACAGGACTACAGGAATTTGCCTCTAAACATGCTACTTATCACTGGCCTCAGTGGAAATAAGAAAAACAGAAAGACACCTTTATTATCTTGCAAAGAATTAATTACATCAAACGACAACAAATTACATAGCGGGGTCAGGAAGCACTTTTCCTCCATT